AATTCCTCCACTAAACTGCCAGAATGGTACCAGTATTTATCTCGGGAGGTGAGGTGATGGATGATACCAGATTTCTTCTGTTCGTTTGGCTTTCCTGTCTACATTTGCTACAGTGAAGACGAGTAATTTGTAATTTTATAATTTACTTAAAAAACAAAGCAAACAGGCAGTAGTCATGGGTTGATACACAGTACCAACAATTCATGTACAGTTAGAAAGGGAAGACAGTATTTACTGCATTGTAAATTCCCCTGACTTGTTTATGTGCTTAACACCCAAGAAAGAAGAGCTTTTTATATTATGAGGGCTATATTTTTCTTTTTAAAAAGTAGTGTTTTGGGGCGCCTGGGTGGCGCGGTCGGTTAAGCGTCCGACTTCAGCCAGGTCACGATCTCGCGGTCCGTGAGTTCGAGCCCCGCGTCGGGCTCTGGGCTGATGGCTCAGAGCCTGGAGCCTGCTTCCGATTCTGTGTCTCCCTCTCTCTCTGCCCCTCCCCCGTTCATGCTCTGTCTCTCTCTGTCCCAAAAATAAATAAACGTTGAAAAAAAAAATTTTAAATACTTTAAAAAGTAGTGTTTTTCATAGGTGACAAAAAACAATAAAAATAGGAATGAGTAGAAAATTAAGACTGTCTTGTTCTATTTTGTAATCTATACTTTTCACTGACCAATGTATGAGAAACATTTCATTATATTAGCGTATTATATTTTTTGCCATCTTTATTGTGGTATAATTTACTTCTAATAAAATTAACCAATATTAAGAGTACAATTCAATGAGTTTTAACAATTGTGTACTGTCTTATAGCCACAGCTACACTCAAGATTTTTCGAACATTTCTGTTATCCACAAAGTTTCCTTGTCTCCCTATGCAAACAGTCCCCCTGATCCCTCCCTGCATCTTGGCAACCATTGGCCAGCTTTCTGTTATAATAATTTTGCCTTTTTTTTTTTTTTTTTTTTTTTTAGAATTTTCTATAAATGAAATCTTCTAGCATGGCTAGCCGTATCTGGCTTTTCTCACTTAGCGTAATGCTGGTTGAAATCCATCTGTATTGTTGCAAATAGCAGCAGTGTGATTTCTTTTTATTGCTGAGTAGTATTCTGTTCTTTGTAATAAAATTTGTTTGTTCATCCATTCACCCACGTGGTGGACATTTCGGTAGTTTCCAGTTTTTGGCTATTCTGAATAAAACTACCGTGAACATTTGCGTTGAAATCTTTGTGTGAACATATGTTTCTCTTAAGTAAATACCTAAGAGACGAATTGCTGCTTCATGTAACTATGTGTTTAACATCATAAGGAACTGTCTTCATAATTGTTTTGGCACCTGGCTGGCTCAGTCAGTAGAGCACGTGATTCTTGATCTCAGATTGTGAGTTCGAGGCTCACATTGGGTCTGGAGCCTACTTTAAAATAGAAACCATTCCTTAAAATAAAAAAGTTTAGAAAAGAATTGTGGCTATTCCAGATTCTTTGCTTTTTCATGTGGATTTTAGAATCAGCGTGTCAATTTCTACAATAAAGCCTGTTGAAATTTTGTTGGGGATTGTGTTGAATCTGTCGGTCAGCTTTCAGAGAATTGACATCTTCGTAGTGTTGAGTCTTTTGTTTCTTCAGTATGGCGTGTTTCTCTGTTTATTTAGGTCTTCAGTTTCTCTTAGCAGTGTTTGTAGTTTTGAGTGTACTGATCTTATGTATCTTTTATTAAAAATTGATCCCTAGACATTTCATATTTCTGATGCTATTATAAGTGATATTTTAAAAATGTCAATTTCTAGTTCTTTGTTGACTGTACAGAGAAATACAATTGATTTTTATACATTGACCTTGCATTCTGCAACTTTGCCAGATATACTTACCAGTTCCGGTTACTTTTTTGTAGATTCTTTAGGATTTTTTACATAGATAGTCATGTTGTCTGTGAATAGAGTTTTACTTTGTCCTTTTCAATCTGTATGCCTTTCAACTCTTTTTCTTCCCTACGGCACTGACAAGGGCTTCCAGTATAGTGTCAAACAGAAGGGGTAAGAGCAGACACCCCTGACTTGTGTCTAATCTTAGGGTAACAGTGTTCAGTTTTCCAGGGGTTGGCAGACTATGGCCTGTGAGAATATACACATAAACACATGCATACATAAAGTTGTGTTGGAATACAGCCACCGTCATTCATTTACTTACCGTCTGTGGATACTTTTACCGTTTTCTTGATCTGTCCACTTCATCTAAATTGTAAGTTTGTTGGCGTGAAGCTGTTCATAGGTTCCCTTATCTTTCAAAGATTTTTTTTCTTTTAAATGTTTATTATTTTTGAGAGAGAGAGAAAAAGAGAGAGAGTGAGCTGGGGAGGGGCAGAAAGAGGAGGGAGACAGGATCCCAAGCAGGTTCTGCGCTAGCAGCAGAGAGCCCGACCCAGTACTCGAATTCACAAACCCTAGAATCATGGCCTGAGCCAGTCCGACGCTTAACGGACTGAGCCACCCAGGCGCCCTGTTCCCTTATCATTTTAGTATTTGTAAGTTCTGTAGCAATGTCCCGCACTCCTTCCTGACAGTGATGAGTTTTGTTTTCTTCCTTTTTTTCTTGATTAATAGAGCTAGAGGTTTCTCACTTTTATCAGTCTTTTCAGATAATTAACTTACTGAGAGGCCCGTGTTCTGGCCCAGCCACACCCTCGCCGAGTATGTCGTGCACTTGGGGAGAATGTATACTCTGTGGCTGTTGGGTGTTGTGTTGTGTAAGTGTTTAATTGATTTTTAAAATTATTTTTCTGTTTTCTAAATAACTGATTTCTGCCTTACATTATTTTCTTCCTTCTACTTAGTTTCGTTTTGCTTTTCCTTTTTCTAGCTTCTTACAATAGAGGTTTTGATCACTGATTTTAATCTTTATTCTTTTATATAAAATAAACATTTAAGGGACCTGGGTGGCTCAGTGGGTTGAGTGTCTCACTTCAGCTCAGGTCATGATTTTACAGACCGTGGGTTTGAGCCCCGCATCGGGCTCTGTGCTGTGGATTCTGTGTCTCCCTCTCTCTGCGCCCCCCCACTTGCACGCATGCGCGCGCACTCTCTCCATCTCTCTCGAAAAGAAATAAACATTAAACAAATTTTAATAAAAAAAGAGTAAATAAAGTAAACATTTAAGAAGTGCCTCGGTGGCTCAGTCTGTTAAGTGTCTGACTTCGGCTCAGGTCATGATCTCACTGCTCATGAGTTTGAATCCTGATACAGCATCAGGGTTGCACTGTCGGCACAGAGCCCACTTTGGATCTTCTGTCCCCCTTTCTCTCTGCCCCTCCCATGCGCTCTCTCTCTCTCTCTCTCTCTC